CTTCTATACATTGTTGTGACTGACAACATGGCCGGGACAACAAAACAGGAGAGTTTAGAAAACCACGCCTACTTTTTGCGCTGAGCTCCGCGGCAAGCGCGGCGCGTTGAGCGCAACTCGCTGTTTTTTGAGAGGAGGCGCAAACCTCGCGGCGAGCGCAGCGCATGCCGCGTTCGGTCTGAAAGCACCTTTAGCGGTCATTTAACCGCCCAACCGCGCTTTAAGTAGGTCAAACCAGTGCGGCGCTTCTAGTGTTAAGGATGTAAAGTGGAGCTCCGGTTAGGGTTAGGGTTAAGGTTAGGGTTTATTCGCTGTGACACAGAGTTGAGGCCAACGGGGAGATCCAAGATGGCGGAATAAGCGGTTGTACAATCTGCGGGTCTGATTTAGAAACGTGATTTAGATGTCCTGAAAAGTACTTCACCGACAAACAGTCTGGAGAGGGCACGGTATCGCAGAAGATGGGACCTCAGAATACTGGGCCTGACAGAGAAAGAAAATGAGAATACATGCGAAATTGGCATTCTAACAAGAGTGGTTCCTGTGTCAGTGGAAAAATTGCAGCTCATGGTTGATACAGTACACCGACTGGGAAAAAAAGACAATGCTGTGAACAAAATGCCTAGACCAATCATCATCCAGTTTAGCATGAGGACGGCTAGGGACGAAGTATGGAGGAAGTCCAAAGAGGCCAGGGTCTGCAAAGAACTGAACATAAAATTTAAAGAGGACTTCTCCAAAGAAGACCATGAAGCTCAGATCAAGCTGTGGCCCAAGGTACAGGAAGCTCGACACAACGGCAGAAGAGCATTCCTGAAGGAGGGTTATGCAATAATAAACGGCAAAAGAATCAATCCGTGAGATGCACTTAAAGCAATGTTTTAGCTACATGTTGAGCTACAGAGAGTTATAATTGCTACTTACAAAAAGGGGGTAGTATTTTGGTAATGTGGCTGAGTACTGTTAAAACGACATATGCAGGACACTAGGCTTATTCCTGCTTGAAGATTTCTTTTTCTTCTCGTAAGTGCCAAAGAAGCCAGTTTGGTTCTTGTTTTGTATTTTGTTATTCTCTTTTCTTCACTTTTACATGGCTGTTCTAATAAGTTCTTTAAATGTTCGAGGCTTAAAAAACAATGTTAAACTTAAGGCCATGTTTTTATTTTGCAAAGAAATCAAGGCAAACATTCTGTTTTTACAAGAAACACATTCTAGTAAGGAAGAGGAAACGCTTTGGAAACATCAATGGGGAGAAGGTATTCTTTATTCATATGGTACTGCTCACTCAGCAGGAGTGATTTATTTAACAATTTTGCGGGGAAAGTTATTGATCATAATAGCGATGTAGCAGGACATTGGATTATGGTGTTGGTAGAATTCTGTGAAAAGAAAATTATTCTTATCAACGTGTATGGATACAATAACAGGTCTCTAAATAGAAACATGATGATAAATCTAAGTAAATTGATTGTAAATTGGAGCAATATGTATGGTTCTACTCAGGTAATAACTGGAGGTGATTTTAAACCATTCCTCAAAGCGACAGGTATTTTAGGAACTGTAGCGACTTGGATTGATAACTGGTTAACGGATAGGAAG